GGGCTCTTCTTTCTGTTTCCTTCCAATGGATCTCGTGTCCAGTCTGTGCGATGTGTTCCGCTAGTTCTGATCTTTCGGCATCCATTTTCCTGTAGAGCCTTTGATGTTCCTTAGGAATATCCTAATCAATTTGTTCAACTCCTCGTCCCAAAATTCTAAATCTGTTAGGCATAGGCTTCGGATGATCATGTTCCTCATTATCTTTAGCCCGTATTTGTAATGGGACCGGAAAATGAGTATTATTCCAACATAAGACTTCTTTCTGAACAATTTCTTTTTGAGCGTCCCATTAGAGCGAATCACTTCAACTTCAAGGAACGGTAACCGCTCACCCTCCTCTACTTCCATCGTAAATTGAATTTTTCCATCAATCTGGTTTACAAACTTCAAAAACTCTTCCCGTTTTTCTCTTCCATGCGACCAAAGTGCGAAATAATCATCCAGGTACCGCATGAGCACTGCCGGTTGTAGCGGTGCCATCTTAAAGCTCTCTTCTATTTCGTTAATAGTGGTGAGAGCGGCGATCCCATAAAAAGTCCAAATATTTGTTCATAGATGTTTCCGTTGAATGTAAAATAGGTTGTCCTTATTTTCAAGTTGATTAGTCTTGTTAACGACTCCCTCCTGATCCGTTGTGATTCCAGGAAATCCTCCTCTCGGTCCAGGATTCCCAGCATGAACGTTAGCGCATTTTCTCTAGAGATATTTTTTATACATCGATTCCACATCGAAACTTACCAATAAGTCCTTTTTTTTCAGTGCCATGTTTTTGATTTTTTGAGAAAATTCGTATGAATGTTTTTCCGTGTTAGATAGTCTTTCATTTAATTTCTTGAGTTTTAAGAATATAAACATTGCCAATTTGTGCGTTGCTCCATACTTTTTGTTGACTATCAGCCTTAGTGGTTCGCCTTCTTTGTGTATCTTCAGTAATCCGTATGCTGTTGGTGGTCGTGCATCCTTTCTTATGATTGAATTACTTGTTCATTCCTCAATTTCCTTATTCCTATGCATATTTTTCCGCATCCCACTTTAGATTCCATTGATCTTCATAGTTAGGTCCTTGTTTATTATATGGAATCGTAGATTATGTTCCATCTTCTCGGTATATTGTTTTTCGTCCATTCTCACTGTAGCTCCTCCTTTTTCCACCTGAAGGACTAATTGTTCATTCGTTTTTAGGGTTTTGCGTATCACGGGAAATCTGTCCTTGTGTGTTTGCTCTTAATGTGTCAAGATCTTTGTAATTAGTCACATCTCCATTTGCCGTTTTGTCTCGTCAGGGAACTTGTCGGCAATAATGATAACCTCCACCAGGATGTCTCCTAGAAGGCTTATGTGATGTTGAATTGAAAATTAGAGTCCTTTTTCCAGGAACGCGGTTGTTTCGGGATTGAGAGGAATTGATGATAGGTTTAATACTTTCTTCCGATCGTCGTGTTGATCAGTAGGTGTTGTCACCTCGGAAGCCACTACAACTGTGCGTACTAGATTTAACTTAGGCTGTCTTATAATCCCAAACTTACGCAATTCACCGTCATACTGTTTAATTATTAAGTCAGAACTCCTACGTGATTTTCTGCCGGTCATGTTCTGAAGTTTTTGAAAGTCTTCCGGTCACATGATCCCTGCCAGATCACGCCGGATCTTTGACTTAATATCTATAACCTTAAACAACTTATTCCTCTCTTTAACATAAGTCTCACTTAGTTTCTGAATAAAAGCCTGATGGAAATAGTCATTAGCCTTATCCAAGTGGTACGGTCTCTCAAGGTCACAGAACTTAGGAGTGATACTATAACGTTTACAACAGTTTAAAAGAGTCAGATGGGAAGATTAAATTACAATTGTCTTCTTTGTCTGGCTGTATTCAGTGCATTGTCTGGCAATTTTATTACCATAGTATAATTTAAGCTATGAAGACTAAGATGTTGTGCCCTCTGCTATAGTCGAAGTCTCCTTTCGATTTATAGAAGTTGGTTGGCCTCGTCGTCGCAACTTGGTCTTGTTGTCACGAGGACTTAGTAGGACGCACCTAGCCCGAAGTCGTCTGCCATAGTAGTTATCATAATTCCCAGCATCAGACAGTGGACTTGGTACATTCTCAACCGTCTCGCATGCATCGGTGCGGAGAATGGCAAAACTCACTGTTAATGGCAACTACGATGCCGGCGAAACGTTTGAGAATGTACCAAGTCCACCGTCTGATGCTGAGAATCATGACAACTATTATGGCAGACGACTTCGGACTAGGTGCGTTCTACTAAGTCGTCCTGACAACAAGACCAAGTTGGGACAACGAGGTCAACCCACTTCTTTAAATCGAAAGGAGACTGCGACCATATCAAAGGCCACAACATCTTTGTCTTCATATCTTTAATTAAAATTTATAGCTTATCCTTTATTCGCCTACTCCATAGGAAGCTACCTCAAAAGGTGTGTCAGCATAAGCTTTCTAGCCTATACCGTCCACAAACTAAGTTTACGCTTATCATATTCACTATAGCCATAATCTTGTATAACTATTAAATAGGACAAAGGAGGGCTCTTCAAAGTCTGCCTCGATGGTGGCTACACAGTTTTTTATTATAAAAGAGGAAATCGGCCCATTTGCATAACTGTTGAGTGTAAACTTTACACTTAACTTAATCGACTGATTACTTCAATTTCTCTTCTGAAGACATAAGGACATAAATTTGCTCTGATGGCCTTGCCAACACTTTGATAAAATGATTAGTTTCAATTAGCCAAGGCCAGTTTCCAGACGCAATTCGACCTCGATTGTCGAGCTATTGATCTATATAAAGAAAAGCTGGTTTTTGAATAATTCCTTAATGAAATATTGTGACACGGCTCTCCATTTCGAAGGAAAAGTTGGTTAGAAGGAATTCGTGATGTCGTCTCACCGGAAACCGAAGGAGGATTGTCGCGTAAGGAAGACTGTTGAAGTGTGCGAAGAAGTCCTCGACTCACTATCCTGCGACCCCGACGAAACTGTGCTAAGCTTTCGTCTGTACTGTGACAAACATCATCAGAGCAAGATTCCTAACTTTACGAAATAGAACAAAAATATACTAAACCAAGAGAAGAAGGTGGTCTGCTGCATTCCTACTTGCCTTTTTTATACACCCAACATCGCGATCCTAATGAGACCCCCCCTGATTTGGTTGGCTA